GGTATCAGCTATAATTTTCGTGTTAATTTTGATTATATGTATTTCAAAATTAAATAGTTATTATAAAAGTTATGTTAATAAGAAAGTAAACAACAATATTGTTTAACCCTAGAAGGGTACTGTGAGTAAAATTTACTCACATAAGGAATAGATTTGTTCGTAAATCTGCAGGTTGGCCACACTGAAAGTCAAGCCACTAGCAGTGCTTGGCCCACTCTGTCATTAGTCGGCTGCCGCAAGCATTGAATGCACAGAAAGAAAAAATATAGGTTAATCTAACCGAAAAAGATTGTAAATAAACCATTTTTCTATTTTACATTGAAAACACAAACAACAAGTACAATTCAGGTTGTTAATATAATCGACGAAAAATTGTTATACGAATTTGGAAATTTTTAACCGCAAAAATAGTTAAACCAATCGTTAGAATTGTAGAACATAAATTTAACTACAAAAAATGGTATGGCCAACCTGCAAAATGGTAAAGTTACTATTCTTAACCACAAAAATAGTAAAACTAACCGGATAAAATTGTAACTCTACTATCTTGATTGTTAATCTAACTGAAAAGATAGTCTTCACGTAATTCTCTTCTCTCTTTCTTCCCTCTTCATGATGAGAATAACCACAAAAATAGTTGAACTAATCGTTAGAATTGTAGCACATAAATTTAAACACAAAAAATTGGTATGGCCAACCTGCAAAATGGTAAAGTTACTATTTTTAACCACAGAAATAGTAAAACTAACCGAATAAAATTGTTGCTCTACTATTTTGATTGTTAATCTAACCGAAAAGAGAGTTTATGCGATAAGAATAACGGCACTTTTGATGCTTTGCTTCTTCTTTTCTTCTTTCATATTCATTTGCAAACTTTTCATGGACGTTGTTATTTGCGTAGGTGCAGTGAAGTGAAATTAAATTAATTAATATATTAAAATTAAGTGTTGATGAATCTTAACAATAGTGAATTGTTTTCGCTAAATATTTTGCGTGCTGTGGAGGCGGATGATATGGATAATCCTGATCCAGAAGACACGGAATTTTGTAAATTGATTTTGGAGTGGGGATTTTCACATAAAATCGCTGAATTTAAAGGTAAGTTGCAAATACATTGTCATTGTTGTAGTTTTTAGTTAATTTAGTGAAATTCCAGCGCAAGCAATAACCTTGAAAAATTTGCAATATCTGACGGAGTCTGACCTTGCTGATTTGTTTAAAAACGACACCATTGGTGCTAGAGCGGAATTCCGCCATCAACTCATAACTTGGAGGAAAACAAACGTAAGTATTGTGAATCCCTTTGTGATCATTTCATGAAGAATCTTTTTTGTTGCAAAATTCCTTCAGGGGTATGGTAGCGTGTCGACGTGCGATACAGCGTCCGCCAATTCTGGTTTTGTTGACTTTGTGCAGCAGTGGCGACAGCGGATCAACAATGGCATCGAATCTCCTTCATGCTCACAAACATCCAGTTCATCTTCACATGACTTCGTAAGTTTATATATGAGGCACCTCACAAACCCAACAAAACATTAAACAAGTTTTAAAAACCTACAATTTTTAAGGATTTGCAGCAAGTGTTAAGTGCCCATCCAACTGGCGAGTATGTTCTGCGACTGGACAAACTAGATGACGCTGGGAGGAAGATCTTAATTGATGCCACTGTGTCGTGGTTTATTAAAAGAAAAATCAAAATATGCCGAAATACATTCCAATCTATTGCGCAAGATATTGCAAACAGGTTTAAAGATGACAAGGTAAATTATTTATTCATTACAAAACTATTTTCTAAATTTTCACCTATTTTCAGTCGATTTACTACCACAAAGATCCTATTACCTTGAGACCAGCAGGCCGCTTGTACGATAAATATTACAACACATTGAAGAGATTGAGGAAATCCGGTGAATTAGTGGACCCAGAAAGTTCAACTCCTGAGGCATCACCGACAGAAGAATATACATTTACTTTCGAGGATGAAAAATGTAACGCCACCACAATAGCTTTTGTTTTGTAATTATTTCATATTTTTTTATGCAGCTGCCTATGACTGGCTCAAACTTTTTGATTCGCCGTGGAGCACAGTTGAAGCAAATTGGAAAAAAAACCTTCAAAATCAGACGACAAGAAATTTTGAACTCAAGTGGTAGCACATCAGCGAAAACTTTACGGGCCTGGAAACTTTTTTCCCATTCATGTGGATACAATCTGGTAAATGGATTTCTTAGTTTTACGTTTAAACTTGTCAGAATTGGTTGACTAGTTTGAATTTACAATCAAATGGGTCATATTAATAAAAAAAAATGATTTTTCTCAAATTTGACATCAATTTGTATGAAAAAACTTTCAAAATTTGAGAAAATATTTCGAAAAAGCATTTTCTTTTTTATTAAATGACGCAATAAATACAAAAACTTCCTCTTGAAATACTATCATATATGAAAGTAATGCGTCATATTAATAAAAAAAGCAATTGCTTTTTCAAAACCTTTTCTCAAATTTTGAAAGTTTCTTTATACAAATTGATGTCAAATTTGTGAAAATTTGAGAAAAAACAAAAACCTTTTTTAATCATATGACCCAATATTTAAAGGCACGGCTGCAAACCGGTTCTGAATCGGGTTTTGGACCGAACCACTGCTGTGAAACCCAATCAACTTTCATATAATAATAGATATGCAAGTTGGAAGTAGCTCAAAAATTTCCCTGAATTTTCCTTTTTTTGCTTAGAGGGTGTTGATCAATTTCTTCCATAAAATACAAAAAAATAAATATATACATTTTGCATTTCTCTTTCAAAAAAAATCGGAAAACTTAGAAAAATGTTTGAGCTAGCTCCAACCTTCACAATATTATTCTTTAGTCGGTTGGCTGTAAAAATGGTCGCTACAGAATTTAAAACTCAAAATTTAATAATGCTTTCCTTTATTGCAGATTGATATTGACTTCAATGCTCTACATCAGAATTGCTCACAGCTAACAGAGAAATGGCAAGGTTTTAGAACAAAAATTATATCAATTTTGAATAAGAGGGTAAAGGATATTCAAAATCTTCAGCACTTGAAAAAAGTTAATGAGATTGATAAAGGTTTGTTAACATTGGTAATAATAAGATTAAATGATTTTTATAATAAATATACTTTTATTAAAGGTTCAGATCAACTTATAGCATTGTTACTGCACGTTGTACTACGACCTAATATAAAGCGGAAGGCAGGTGACAAAACGATTTTTAGAAGTACTATCAAAGATTCTCAGCTCTCGTTTTTACTACAAGTTAGTACTGTGAACGATGTCGAAAATAAATTGGATAATCTGAAAAAATCACTCTATGCACGCGGTGAGACATTGCAACCACTAATTATCGCAATTGGCAGTGATTTAAGTAATTGCAAATTTTATGTTTACTATGACGACATTAAGTATGAGCTTCCTTAATTTTTAAGCGCTTTAGACATATGTTTTAAGACTTTCCATGTATTACATTTAAAATATCCACAGGATAGCATTGAGTTTTGGACGTTTGTCCAAAGATATTTTTATTCCATTGAATTGACTGAAGATAAAACTTCTCCAAATGTCCTTTGTTTGCTGAGGGACTTAATTTAATTTATTAAGTATAGATACGTAGTCACATAAATCTTAACACCTTCAATATTCAATAATTATTATTAAATATTATATATGTAATAGTTATTCATGCCTATTACGGTATCCGACGAATGCCATCCGCGGGGAATG